TCAGCAATGAACTCCAGGTGCCCCCCCCCAAAAAAAAAAATGCCGACCTCGTCCAAATTGGCCAGCGCCGTGCCTAACGCTCAGAAGTGGCGGCGAACCCACGTTTAAAGGCGCGCACTCTGAAATTAAATTGGCTCTGACTGGATGAATTGACCAAAAGGCAAAAGTTCGAAGTGGCCCAAGCTCGGAAACCCACAAACTGCTCTGTCTCTTGTGGGTAAAGGGACGCCAAAAGCACAAGCGAAGCCATTTTTGGGGCTGAGAAAAAGACACACCCATGTGCAGGCCGTGGAAAGGTGGCCATGGTGAGCCCTGCAGAGAAGTGGTCCAAGGCTGTTGGTTCGGAAGGTCCCGAGCTGTTCGAGAAGGGGAGTTTTGCTTGTGAACGTACTTGTATCTCATCTATTTGAAGCCACAAGACATGGCCCGCTTTTGCAAAGTGGTTGGCTCCTTCCCTTGCGAGGGCTATTCGTTGCCGGCCCCTTGCCCTGAATCCGACCTGATCCCGCCATTTCGGCCCTCTCCGCCAATTCTGCTGAGGCGTTGGCTCAGAAACTGGGGCAGGTTCGCGAGATCTGCAAAAAGCCGACGCCAAGGCACCAGCCCAGGGTTTCACTTTTTGGCTACCCCAAGACAGACTTAAACCCAGGGGTGTTCCTTTTGGGGGGAATGAACCAGCCCTGGGTTTAAGTCTACCCTGGGGTAGTCAAAAAGTAGAACCCTGCACCAGCCGTTTCGTAATTTCCGGCTCAAAAGACCCCGTTCCAGAGATTGGTTCAACCACTCTCCGTCCTTTTGGAAAAATAGATGGCCCTGGTGAATGGAACAAAACCCATCTAAACCAGTGGAACCCATCTATTTTTAACCAAACTAACCTAAAAAGGACGCCCCACTGTCCGTCCCTTTTCCGATTTCTCGGCACTCCAAACCTTGCGTCCCCTTGCTTTCGATGCAGAGATTCCTAAGGCTGAAGAAACTGAGCAAATGGTGGGACCACAGGTGCTAAGCAGACGGAATGTGTCCATGTTCGAGCTCTTCCTTCTGGGATGCTCGAAATACTCCATTGCTGTCTGCTCCCCTGCTAAAAGTGACTCACTTTTAGTGGTTTAATACGGAAAAGCCATGAGTTGGCAAAAAGTTAAAGTCCTAACATCCAAGCAGCAAATGCTCCTCTGAAAAGAAACCAATAATTTCAGGAAGCCCACAAGGATCACACAGACTTGCAGGCCTTCGTCCATGCACTCAAGTGCTGCAGCTTGAATCCCGTTTGGCCTCGGAGCATGCTACCCACTAGATCTTCTCATTCAAACAATCTCTGAGTACAAGGCACAAGGATGTGTCCATGCGCAGTGTCCGCTGTTGGGCATCAAACCACGGGCTATTTGGGGTTACGGGGGATATAATTTTGAGACAACCATGATGAGGATTCTGATGAAGGGAGCCATAAGAATGGCCATTGGACCTCCCTTTTTTTTGGTGGGTGGGGGGGAGGGCACTGGGTTCCGACCTCCTCTTGGTTTCAAGGGAGAGTACAGTGTTACAGGAGGCCAACCTCTTTTGGGTTCCATATTTTGATACGGACCAATTTTCTCCGATTCCCATGCCTGAAAGACTGCCGGGGGTATATACCTTGGCTGATTCATGACTTTGCATAGGCCCCTTTGTGTGGGAGACTTATGACTCATGACACCTCAGCGCTCACAATAACCACAGTGCGTGAGACAAAGACCCACCGGTGATTCCTGCCCCTTCTGTCACTAAAGCAGGACAACCCCTAGAACTGCGTTCCTTTTGGTCTCCTTCCAAAAACCCACCCCAACAAGAAAGCCAAAATAAAGCCAAATCCCCCAAACCAGATTTGAGGAGATTCGGTTTCCCCAACAAGGCTGCCTTAAAAAGGCACCGCCCAAACAAGAAAACGGTCCAAGTCCCGCCAGGCTCCCCCGGCAACTCCTGCGCTGCACGCCGCGACACCGCCGCGCCCCCGTGGCCGTCGAAGACCCCGAACCTCGGGGCGACGGACGGACAAGGAGCTTCGGCGACCATTCGATCCGCCGCCCAGTTTCTTCACCATTTGCTCAGTTTCTTCAGCCTTAGGAATCTCTGCATCGAAAGCAAGGGGACGCAAGGTGTGGAATGCCGAAAAAATTGGGACAAGGGACGGAGAGTGGATGAGCCAATCTCTGGAACGGGGTCTTAGCCGGAAATTACGAAACGGCTGGTGCAGGGTTCCACTTTTTGACTATTTTCAGGGTAGACTTAAACCCACACAAAGTGGTCGACGCGCCCAGGGTCCCCAGCGCATGCTTTAGTACAAATATCTCATCGTCATACTCGAATAGCGCCGTGAAAAGCATGCGTCGTTGCCGCGCCCTTTGGCAGTCTGCCTCCAACGTGAGATTATTTCGTTGTCAACACCCATACCCCAGAACAACACATTAACAAAATGAGTAGGTGTTACATTATGTATATATATATATATATATGTATATATATATATATATATCATATACCTAATAACATATCTATACATATATCTGTATGCAAGCTATGCTATTTAAAATGTGCTCAGCTTGGGGTCAGCGGAACAGGGCGGCAGCCCTTGAACAACTACATTTGTGCGGGCGGTTGTCAAACCCCCCAAATCACCCGCATTCTCTGCACAGGGCGGGACGAAACAAATGCTAAAAAGATGGAGTAAAGGTACCAAGCTAGGTCCTCCAGTAGAGAGGATAGAATACGGGTACCCTTTCTTCTGTAGTCTATTTCAGCAGGGGAGGTCTGTACTCTCCAAAGCCTATGGCCGATATGGATGCAGATCGCGAGGCGCGCATGGCTCGGATTGAAAGCTGAAAACGGAAAGTGCCGGAAACACACCGCGCGATGCGGCCGCCTCGGACACAAATCCTGAGCCAAAGCGGAAATGTGTTGCGGAATTGGGCTGTCGGATTCAGCAGGGCGCAAAGTTCACTGCAGAATGTGAATCAGCCAGCCAGTGGGGGAAATTGGTGATGCTCCTTGTTGCCGAGCGCTGGTCATGAACGGCTTGCGAATGGCTGAACCCCCCCCGGAAAAAAAAAAAAAAAAAAAAAAAAAAAAAAAACTGGTTATGAACGGCTTGCGAATGGCTGAACCCCCCCCCAAAAAAAAAAAAAAACACCAAAAGAAGGGATGCCAACTCCACAACAAAGGTGGGTTCCGGTTGCTGTTCCTCTAAACTCACCCCCCGCACAAAAAAAAGAGACCAACTATTAAAAATTCCTCTAAACTCACCCCCCGCAACAACAAAAAAGAGAGACCAACTTAAAAAGTGGAGAGCTGTTGCCGGCGCCTCAAAACGAGGAAGAAAATCAGAGAATCGCCAAGGCCCGGGGCTGCGGCAGGGCATAGTTGCCCAAAGGCGGCTCCAAGCTGAGCGCACAGGTGGCGTCCTCGAGACCGGCCCTGGATTCCTTCCGCTTAGGACAGGGGTGGTTATCGGGGGTTATCAGCTGCTGTGGCTCCTTGTTGCTGTTTTGTCTTCTCCGCTTTTTTTCTTTTTTCTTTGCGTTGAAGGAACTGGGGTCCTTACATTATACACCTGAACATTGCCTTGTAGATGGTACTTTCCCTCTACTTTGGTGTTGAAAAAAACAACATGTTTCAAATGGTGGGAAGAAGACGAGGAGAAAGCCGGAGACACATGAGCAGAGGGAGGAAACAACGAGGGAAACACGGAGAAACGACGAAGAATGGGGTATAAAAGGGGGCCTGTCCGAAGGGTGGCTTTCAAACTTCCGGAAGGGGACATGAAAGGTTAGACATATACCCGCATTCTCAGCTTTGACCATGCATTTGAATTTAGTCCGACCCCCCTCCCCTGTTTTCAAAAAGTCATGCAACAAATAAAATCAAGCTCAAGACCGGCAGTAGCTTCAGACACAACTGCTAGCCCACAAAAACTGCCCCGTAAAGGTTGCGTATTGAGCAGGAAGATCTTCCAGCCACAGTTCAACCACATCCCATCTCGTTCCAATAGAGCAGGAAACTCAAGCAGCCGGCCAGCAGGCTGGAAGCTCTCAAGATAGAGAATTCCCTGGTGCTGATTCACCAGAAACCGGCTTGAAATCTATCCTCAGAGTTACTCCATTCCGCCATTCCGATGGTTGTCCAGCCGGGCGCTGGCTCATCGCATGTTGATGCATCCCATGTTGAGCCAACGCCCAATTCGCGCTAAGTCTATCCCAGGAAGAAAGCCAATCAAGAAGCTGATGTCGTACTGGGGGAAGCCTTGGAGCGCCGACCAGAACCCGCACCCTGCTCCCTTCTCCACGGACCGCGGCGTCTCTTGTTCGATGAGTGCCCTTCCCAGCAATTTCATGTCCCAACAAATCATGTCCGGGTTTCATGTCCCAACAAATCACGTTCGGGTCCAAACCAGAGGCCGCCTTCCAAGCAACCCCAAAAGACAGATACCGATCTTCGCCTCGACTCGTTTTCCCCGTCCTCCATGGCAGGCCTCCAGCCCCTCATCTCAGAGGAGACCCAACGCAGGCAATCCCTCGGAGGGAAAACCGACCAAAACCGGCCGGAACGCCCAGATGCGGCCACGACTCAGGTGATGCTCTAAGAGAAATCCGGGGAACCGGATGGCCCACAGGCAGCTCCAAACTCCAAGGGCTGTCTTCCAGATTTCTCCCGCCCCCAGTCCTGCACTTCGTGCACAGCATTTTTTCCTAACACTTCGGAGATTCGGATCAAGCGCCAGGCAGGGCGAGTCCTCTGTGGGTCTTCTTGTCCCTGTCGGGACCCCGGAGGGACACCTCACTGACAACGCGCCTCCAGATGGGCTTGGCTCCCTGTTTGTATGGGGCTGTCTTTCTTGGAGTTGGTACCTCCTTTCTTGTGGTTTTAAAGGGAAGCCACAAAGAAGATCATCATTTTGGGGTCACCTAAAAAACGATACTGTCAGTTTAAAAGCGTCAAGTTACCAACCGCCTTCACGAGAAATCCACAGCAGTAAGCCAAGTACAAGTGAGCGGCGCCTGACAAAATAGCAGATGTTAATCAAGTACAATCCTGAGATGCGTGGCAGCTATAGGCCAGCAACACTCAAAACAGGCTGTGAACTAACAGTTCGACACAAAGTCACCCTAGGATTAGTCAACCCTCCGGAGCAAAGGGCCCTCGCCCTTTGCAGGGAAAGGGTGTTCAGAAGATGTTGATTTCCCGACACCCCCAAAAGCACCTTAAGTTTGCCCATCTCGCCATAAAAACATGGGCAAATCTGACGCTTGAATCCACCAAAAGGAAAAAACACCTTAGGATTAGTCAACCCTCAGCAAAGGGCGAAGTGGTTCCCACCAGTGGTTCCCCTAGGCTTTGGTGGGAACCACTCAGTCAGCAAAGGGCGCCCGATAAGCCGGTGATCTCCGATCTGATCCGAGCCCCACGCCCTCTTCGAAGGTCCCTGGAGATTGATTTTCGTTTTTCTCCGACGCCAAACGAGTCACAAGCAAAACCGGTGGGTGCAAAAATGGCCGTAACCCCAGAACCATGCTTCAAGAATCTACTCAGGATGTCCGCAACTATGTCCGACTGGGACCCCCTTACCAACCTTCATCTGCCGGGTTTTCATTGTGGCTGAAATGCGGCCAAAGACGTTGGCACATGAGCCATGAGCAAAACTTGTAGGCCACTTCAAACGAAACTGCCCTACGCATGGGCAGAAAACACTTGCTATGCCATGAGGGTGACCTTTTGGACAAATGGATGGCTTGGTAAATGGAATAAAGCCGATCTAGACCAGTGCCATCTATTTCTAACCACCATCTATTTCTAACCAAACCAACCGATCAAAAGGACATCAATGCTTGCAACAGTTTGGAAAACCGACCTTCCTCCCCCCGCCCGAGGTGCAGAGCCAAAGCTGGCAAAGCATTCTCAGCTTCCTTGCACTGGGTGGTTTGATTGGTGGTTTGGTGGCTTTTTAGCCAGGGGTTCAAATCCCTAACAACCAATCCAAACCACCAAGTAGTGGAAAGCCGACACTCCGTGTCTTGCTGGCATCTTGAAAGAAAAAGCACTAGGAAAAAAGACTTAGCCCATCTCGCCTTGCCGCACGCCTTGCCCCCCTTCCGACCTCGGCACGCGACGCGTGATGCGGGTGCAGTGGGCTGGCGGGTTCCTTGTGGCAGAGACTCCAATGCTCCCTTCCCCCCGGAGATTTTGCAGGCCACATCGGAACAAACAGACAACCCTTTTTGCACAGCCTCCCCAAGTGTCAGGGCCCCTGACCTTCGAAAAGTCTGACGGTTGTAGCTTCCACCCCCAGTTGGGTAATTCCAGGCGACCTTGCCCTTGACCGCTCCAGCCGGGCCAAAGCCATTGGTTAACCAAAACACAGCCTGCTGAAATTGGTGCGATGAGCTATCATCCACACACACAAATTGCCACATAGAAGGAGCGCGACAGGTAAGGAGCGGCCGCTTGAAAGGGACAAGGGTGTCGTAGGGGCTCTCTCAGATGTGGGGAGTGCAAAGAAAAATAAATATGATGAGAAGATCAAGTGCAAACGAGCATGTCAACCTGCCACGAAGCTGGCTAAACACTCATCCATCCTCAGTTCAGCAATAGACAAGTTTGAGAATGCAACATGGCAAGCCACCAATCCAAACCAATCAGGAGGGTTCTCTAATCTTCTCAAGCCCGTGCGAATCCCTTCGGGCTCCTGCTTTACGAGAACCCTCAAAAAAGCGTGCGGCGTACCGCCAAGTACGCCCCGTACCGGCCATGACTTATGATCCGACGTTCATGGGATTCCAACAAACGCAAACATGGAACAGGGAGCCCTTCGTCTCTCACCCGTCGCCTGCAAGCTTCTCGGTGCTCTTCTGGACCTTCCTTGCAAGTCACTGCGCAAGTCGCCCGGTTACAGCCTCTTCATGGGGAACATGTTTTTGATTTGGTGGATTTAATTATCCCTACGCCAACAATGCCTAACAGGTTCCCATGTTTTTGTGTCAGATTGAAGTGTGTCAAGCCCTTGCATGCGATGCAACTTGCTTAGCCAACACTGTCTTGGGAATCCATAAGTTTGAAAGAACGAACACTTTCCCGATGTCCGCAGGCATCCAAGTCGATAGCTTGCAGCCAGTATATTGCCAAAAGAAGATTGAAGACGTTACGATTGCATAGCTCTGCAAAACAACACACCCACTCAAGCATTCTCGCCTTTGGGCCTTCGGGTTTGGCCAAGCTGTTCAAAATTCAGTGGTACATCCAAATTTCTCTAATCCTATTGCAAACCCACCGCAAAGGGGCACCAAATCAACCCAAGGCCAGGATCTCTTGCGACTTGCCCTTCGAACCGCCCGTGGCAAAAAACTCGGCCCCCGGCGTTTTGACCGGGGCTCGGTTCTGGGGGCCAAATCAAACCGCTTTACGGATGTCTCTTTGAGAGAGGCCGCGGATTCGCGCGGCTGAACTCTGACTTCCCGGACGAAACGTGTGTGTGTGTGTGTTGCGCGTGCTGTCTACCGGGAGACTGGGGAGATGCTGGGGTTTGGAAGAATGAGCAAACCTGGCGCAGCACACGTCGCATTGCCGAGGCGCGAGACAGCCCGGTGACTCCAAGCCTCGGAAGGAACAAAACGGCCTGAAGGAGGGGCGTGACAATTGTTCAGCAAATCAATGGAAGAAACGCTTGGGAGAGTGTTGAAGTGCGCTGACCGTCTGCGACTGCTTGGAAGTGCTTCGGAGTGCTTGTGCGTTTGAAGCGCCGGCAATAAAGCTTGAAACGTGCGAAGCAGTGGCCAGCAGAGAGTCATGATGATCAAAACGGAAAATCGCAAGGAACTGGGTGGTTCGATCATGGCAACTTGGCGGCACAGTCACATGCCCTTGCTTCCCCGCAAAAACTGCCGAAAGGACTCCTACTGAAAGGCTCATGACCATCCTTAGACTGATCACGAGTTGCCTAAATCACCTTTGCGGTCTACTAAAACCCGCCGCGATGGAAGATACCACTCAAACGCAAGCTCAAAGAGGCCGCCCAAACCAAAGGGCAAGCCCCAAAACACCAAGGAGAAAAATAGGGGGAAAAATATCAGACCCATCTTCAAAAAAAAAACTCCCAACGAGCCGCCCTTCCTCCATGCGCGCAGAAAGCGCGCCGGCTTCGCGCGCGAGCGAGCCGCGCGCGAGCGTCTTTTTCTCTCCGAGCGCGGCCAGCGCTTCCGCCCCCATGGCGGCCAGCGTCTCCCGGGCCTCCTGGCGCACTGCGGACAGCTCCTGGCGATCCGAAGAGGCGAGGAGAAGGCGCGTGAGCCGGGGTGACGGGTTGGCGTGGGGAGCGGGACCCGTCCCAAAGTCGCTGGGAACCAAATCCAAAACGGCTTGTGAAGGGAACCCAAAGACCAAACATCAAAGGGGTGAATTGGTCATGTTGATTCAGACTCAAGTGGCTAGGGAAACCCCCACACCTTCTTGCCAAGCTGCGGAGCCCCTAATGTAAACACCAGTGCACCAGTGAAACTCCAGACCCCCCAGTCCCCCAGTTAACCTGTGTAGCCTGACAACTAGGGTTAACCAATTAGCCAGCCGTTTTGCAGCGCGCGTACAGCAAAGGCCAAAAGAAGGCAGGTACACCAACTGCCTCCCATGCCACCATTCTGCACCAGGATTCTCTGCTTTCAATCATGAAACCGTATGATGTGGCTTTGAAAAGAGTGTGTTTGTATGTTGGATACATATAATATACCTTTTACATACATGTAACTATATATATATATACGTATACAAATGCATATGACTTATTCTCTGATGGTGTTTGGCATATTGTCACCCAATTGTCTCCTGCAGCGAGGCCGGGCTGTCCGCATTCTTAATGATGCGTGCCCAGACCTGCGCGATCCTCACCTGGGACTCTGCCCGGTACGCCGCCATCTCTCGAAGCCGCTCCCGCACGTCAACCGCGCCCCCCGCGTCCCGCGCCGCGCCCGGATCTTTGGCCGGGGCAGTGCAACTTTCCGGACTGAAGACCGCGATCTTCGGCGTGCGAAGACCACTTGGCAATTGGGTGCACACGGACTTGTGTGCCGCTTCTGGCGTGCATGGGTTGGTTTCATCACTCCCTCTGGACATCTGTGTCCTACACGTCCTCCATGGCGAATCGCTCACTTCGCCTCAGGGCGCACCCAATTCATGGCAATGCGCCAAACACATGCGTTCCTCTAGCCTCCCTTGAACAACCACTCTAGAACCCGGAATATCAATGAGTGGTCACTTCGACCCCCTCCTTCGGCGAAGGGCCAGCGCGGCTGGAGGGGGCGCTCAAAGCGGCCAGGGGACCTGGGGCTGGTCTTGCCGGCACACCGCAACACCAGGCCCTCCCTCGCATCGAGGTCCCGGAAGTGGCCGTCCCATAGGCCACACGCCACGTACTGCCACTGCTCGATTTTGGAGCTCGCCATGGCGATGAAACTTGTCGACCCCCGAAATTCTGCTTCGGGCTGATGAAACCCATTTTTGGGGGTTGGCAAATTTTTGGGGGGTCCTGTTTCGGGCTGGAGAGGGCGGATACGTACATTTGTTTGAGGGTTCCTGGATGCACGTCTCTGGGAGAGATGTCGGGGCGGCCGCAAGTCTTGCTCATCCCGCGATATTGTGGGCCCGTGTCGAGGGCTGGCCACGTAAAAACTGCAGGGCGTGAACCATGATACTGTGCATGGACAAAATCCTGCACCACTTGGAAACCATGGGAAAGCATTGTTCGTTGGAATTTATTAGGGGAATCATCCCTCATTCCGGGCCTCTTAGTTGGTGCGAAATGGATTTCGTCCATCCATATGTTGCAATCTGCTTCCTTCCTGCTCTCTCGCAGCTTGCAGCTCGGTGCTTGAACCACCGGCGTTTTGCTCAACTGGCGCCCGCCTGGAAGGCCAACTGCACTGGGCCTCCCACACACGTCGTGTGCTTCAACTCCTGTCAGAGCTTGGTTTTTTTTGCGACGGTTTGAACCATCGGGGTCAGCTTAGCGTCATTTCAACAGCTGCAAAACGGGGCCTGGTGATTTGGATCCATGGAGTTGCGTTGCAAGCGACAGGGGTCGGCATCAAAGAACGCAATATGGGTCTGCCTTTCTTGGAGTTGTCACTGGGTGGCTTTAGAGGGAAACGAAAAGGGAAACCCGCCATTTTGGGGGTCCCCAAAAAAACGACACCCACATCATATTCAACAAATGCATCCAGCTGCTGGGTGCTGTGCATGGAGAGGTTTCAGAAGCGATTGCCTCCATTCGCCGGCCGTCACACCCAAAATTGATATGGCCATGGTCCAAAGCCAGTACCCCCAGTGAACATCCCAATCCCCACTAAAATAGGTTCTAAAATGGCTGGTGCACCTCCCCAAATGGCGACTCCTTCTTGGCATGGGGCTTTTGCACTTCCCTGGAGCAAGGAGGACTTCATGGAGGCTCCCCAGCACGTGTGGTCCAGAAAGCAATGGGAGGACTGCACCGAGCTGTACAACTCCCCTGCACGGCACTGCTCATGAGACCTGCCTGATGCTTAAACTGACATACAGGGAAATTCGGGGTGTGTCTGTTTTTTTGGTTTTGTTTTTTTTCTCGGGGGGGGGGGGGGGGGGCTTACCCCGAACATGCGGGTTTTCCTGTTGTTTTCCCTTCAAACCCCCAAGAAAACCACACCCCCCCCGGCATACCTGCGCGACCCCTTTTTGAAGGGTCGCCCCCCGAGCTCCGTCCAACCCGACGTCCTTGGCCGGCAGCACCTCCGCGGCGCCGAGGCCCTTGCCGTCGCTGTAGACCAAGAAGGACCTCGGAGCTCGGAGCCGGAAGCTCCAGAAGGCCTCTGTGGAACCAAGTCCAAAGGGCTGGCACCTTCCGGCTGTTAACCAAGTCCAAAGGGGGAGCTTCCGGCTGTTAGCCTGCGGTATGGGGATCTCGCTGCCATCGGGCGAAGGCGGCGAAAAGGGATCGATCCCCCTTCACGTGTGCAGACGCGAAAATCACGTGTGGGATCTTCTTTTCTTGGTGCCGCTTATTGGTTCGTTGGTTCGAAGGAACGGCCATGGGAGATCCATCCCCCGGGAAAAAACAAAACGTGTGCGGAGGGTGGCAGCCAAGCGAACTGCACGCGGAAGTAGGGACAGCTTCGGCTGCTGACCACCCACCCAAGCAAGGGCACCTCCTGTTTTCAAGACTGGAAGAGCGGCTTTCAGCGTGAATGTTTGGGCCCCATTCCTTCAAATGAGAACCCCACTCTTTAGGGTAGGTGTTTCTTGCGTTTCTATCAAACTGCCAACCAATGGGGGGTGATCAGTTGCCTGATTTACTTGTTTCATTTGGATCGTTCTGACGGCGATTTGTCTCAAATGCCCCATCATCCACTGTTAGACATCTCAAGATGTCCGGATGCCAGCTGTCAACCCACTCGCAGTCGCGACAGCCCATTGCAAGAAATGGAAAAAATCGCACCGTCGTGAGTTTCGGCCAACAACAACAACAACAACAACAACAACAACAACAACAACAACAACAACAACAACAACAACAACAACAACAACAACAACAACAACAACAACAACAACAACAACAACAACAACAACAACAACAACAACAACAACAAAAAAAAAAAAAATAAAAAAAATCAGCCGACAGAGAGCCGACCCTAAACCAACGCTAAACCCACCCAAAACCAGCCTGAGCCGAAACCCTAAGCAAATCCTTAATCAACCCTAAACCCACCTCTATAAACCCACCTATATAAACCCGCCCAAAACCCAACGGCCACCCTAAACCAAGCCCAAACTAGAAGAAATCAACCGAGGACCCCCTTCGATCTATCCCCCCCAATGACCATCGCACGTCCACGGCATCCTGGACACAAGAAGATCTGCCGATGTGGATTCCCTAAAAAGCGCATGTCAACCAACCACGATCTGTTTGTATGACTTCATCAAAAGTGGGTAATAGCTACATGCATGATCGGTGTATTCTCGAGTTGTCAGGGCCAGACATTCATGAACAACCTTTTTTTTACTCATTCATCACACAGAGTGTAAATCGTGAGGATGAAGCCTAAGAATTCAACCAGCCTGCCCACTCGGATGTTAAATAGCGGGTCTGGAAAAGTTGAAAGTCTGCCCGACCCCTTTGGGTGTCCACTCGGAGAAATTGAACATCATGGTACCATTTGAGGGTAGGTGCACCACCCATTTTAGCCTATTTTAGTGGGGATTGGGGTGTTCACTGGGTGGCTAACCGGGATTCTGACCCATGAGACCAGGCCAAGACACACTCGAGCTCCGCTGTGCAGGACGCCGCCCTTCACATCGAGGACATTCACATATATCCTCCCAGGGCCGGGGAAGCGCCAGCGAGAGGGAAAAAAAAGGTAGCCATGGGTCAAAATCCCGGTTAGCCCCCCAGTGAACATCCCAATCCCGACTGAAATAAAATGTCTGAGGGGAAAGAAGAGGACAAGCCATCCCCAGGAACATTTGGGGTCCGGGCTGCAAGAACACACAAAACGGTTCTCGGCGATGGGGAACCCCAAACGCGACCCGGCGCGACCCGGCTCCTCCAGTTGTTCTTGAAGGCTTCAGGATGGTCCACGAAGCGATCCGGCTGAATCCAGCCAAACCTGGAATCTCAGAGGTTCTGGAGATTCCAAGGCTCGGGTCGCGCACGGAACTTGCATCGCCAACATTCAAACAGCCGAAACAGGCACGGAGTCTTCATAGAGCACGACCCCGGTGCACGTGATTCTCGAACGGACACGAGACGCATTCCAAACCTTGACCTTAGCCCTCCGCTTCCGCTTCCATTGCAGCACCTCAGCGGCCAAGCGTCACAAGAGGATGCAGGTCAGGTCACCCCAAATCCCCCACACGACCGTTCAAGTGAGCCTCGCTACGTTAAAAAACTCTGCGTATCCCCGAAAGAAGCTCTCTCGAAAATGCAGTTGAACAACGAGTCGACGGACGCATCGACGGAGCTACCTCACTCCATTCTGGCGCGAGCTGGCACGCCGTGCCTCGCCTCCCAGACCTGCCTCTTCGAACGGACCCTAGGGGCAGCACCCGCCCGGTTTGGCGCGGACACCTGGGCACCAGCAGTTGACCCAGAAAATGTTCGACTGGGCGACAGCCAAAAACCGGGAAAAACATGGGCCTGTGGCCATAAATTGGGGATGTGGGAAAACATCAAAAACATGCGGCGATCCCAAAATGGGTTGCCCAGTTTTGCATGGAACCAAGAACTAGAACCATCCAATTCCTGGTGGTTCAATTTTGACCCTTTTCCCAAGTGGGCTACGCTTGATGCAGAAACAGGCAAGACTTCTCCGGCGCGAGTCACAGGTCGCGTAGAAACGCCGAGTGGGATCAATGCCGGCGGCACTCATCAAGTCGAACTCCGTGCATCATTGACCATAGGGGCCGGGGGGGGGGGGAGGGGGGAGGGAGCCCAAATAAGCCCTAAATAAGGCCAAATTAAGGGCTTGATAAGAGCTTATTTGGGCCCCCTCCCCCCTCCTCCCTCCCCCCCAAGCCCCCCTGAATTGGGGGGGAAAGGTCTTCGTAGCAACCACGCTGACCGCAGACTCTCGCTTGGCGAAGGAATCTAGTCACAACTGCGACTGTGAGGTGCACAGGCCGATGCACCGATGCAGATTCATCAACCCAGGTGTAGTAGGGGGGTGTTCGCCTCCGAAAGTGGTCTAAACCGGCGTTGAGCAATACGGGTCAACATTATGTTGGGAAGTGTCACCTATTGAAACATGGATGGACTAGTCGCTGTCCCCCCCCCCAAAAAAAAAACGACCAAGCGGGCTGGAATTCCGGCTCCATGGACAATATTGAAAAAGGTCTACATAGTCTTGCTGTTGTAATCGTTTTGAGTCTCGGCTCTGGTACCTCCCTTGAGGATTAGAACGAGACCTCAAGGAAACATGATCAGAGTGCCCAAGAGCACCTGCGCATTCCTGGCGCACGCCCTTGCTCTCTTTGGACATGGCCACCAAACGACGAGAAAAAACAGAGCCGTTGCGCAAACATGAAGAAAGCCACTTGCCAGTTTGAGCACAATCTGCCCGGTTTTTCAATCGCCCACAGAGGAAATGGGTGAGTCCCAACATAGAACGGGTGTCCCAACATAGGAGAACCCCCCAAAACGGCGGTTTGCCGTTTGCTTTCCCTTTAAACCAACCCCACAATAGGGCTACCCTCAAAAAAAGACACACCCACATGATGTCATCGTATTTAGGACGTGGCTTGTGGCTTGTGGCTTGTGGGTTGATAACTTCATACCCGCCAACAGGCTGCAACCTCAGGCAAGCTGCGCAACTCGCCGTCGCCCTCCGCAGCCCGGTGGAGAAACCATCCGCTGCGCCGGTTCGCCCGCGTGCTGTTGCCGTGTCTTTGCACCGAAGGTCGCGGTAGATCTGGGGCGGCGCACCTAGATCCTGGGAAACCCCACCGGGAAAAACGGTTTTCCTCAAATAACATCGTTCGATTTGGAGAGTGCCCGCCTGATGGACATGATCTTATGCGCACGGGCGTGTTACAAGAGATTGGTAGGTGGGTGTGTGAATGATATGTGCAAGAGAGAGAGTAAGAGAGACAGAACAGCATCTATGCCACATTACGTTGCCTGTAGATGACGCTACAGATTGTCAGATGAAGCTAGTGACCCTCGGCTTTTGGTCATTTTGCCGTACGTGCTTGTGCCTCCCTCCAGCCATGCTGATTTCGCTGCTTTCGCACGGTCGGCTCCAGTCTGAAGTGATCAGCCTTGTTTTTGGATTTCGCCACGGGCCAAGCAAATCTCTGGGCATCACTTTTAGCCATGAGCCCAAACACTTGCAGGTAAGTGATTACACATGTGCTATTGACAGAACTCATTCTGTGGGTTATGGTCATGGTTCCCTAAATAGGAATCATGATTCTGGTTATTTAGAGTCCTTTTTACCAGGTGGATGACCCATCCCTAGTAATCTCAAATGAAGGTCTCTCTCGATTATGGCACACAGAGGCAACACCTACCGTCCGATCTTTTTGGAAGCAGGCATCTCGCCGAAAATGCCTTGGCCCTGCCGTGTTGACAAACGCGCTTCCTCAAAAAAAAAAAGCTGAGTGAGACCTACAACAGAGTCTGCTTTTCGACCTTTGTCCGGGCCTAGGGCACGAAGCATAGTTCTTTTGGCCATGGGTCAAAAGCCCGTACCCCCTGTGAACATCCCAATCCCCACTAAAATAGACTAAAATGGGTGGTGCACCTACCCCAAAATGGGATCCCATTGGTTTTGACCCACTGCCTTTTCAGTCCAAACCAAGGAGTGCAGTCAGCCAAGGAGGCAAGCAGGTCGAAAAGAAGGCCCCAGTTTGAGGCTCCGGCCATCCGGCCATCCGTCCGGAAGAAACCGCCACCTTTCGCCCGGGATGGTACCGACACGTAGCCTTAGGCCTATGTACAACTTGCGTCTCACGTCTACTTCGCCAGCCGCTGGACCTCACGGAGCAGGTGGTTTGGGTCACCTCTCCAAATGAAGGCCCCGGTTTTTGGGAGAAGCCGACCCTGGCCTTCGGCGCTGTCCAATCTGTACTTTCATTTGGTTAAGACCCCTGGGGGCAAAAAAAAATCCCAGTAGTGCAAAAGTCCTTTTCAAACCAACAAGGGAAAATAAGAAAAAATAGGCTTAAGCAAATGGAAGTATACATTCATCTGAGTTCATCCATCGTCTACGATCTCCAATTCGCTGCGTTTGGCGTGGTTTTGACATGTTGGCAGTGTCAATCTCTTCTGCACAAACCCCCAAGCCTCTGCACCCGACCGGGATGAGGCTCTCGCTTCCTTGGTGTCCTATGCTTCCCAGCCCCAAAGCGTTCCGCCAGCCAGTAACGCACCATGCTGACACTGAAGGCGCAGGCCCTTGTCATCTTTGCAAGCAGCACCTGCTTGGGCACATCCTGCCAGCAAGAAGGCTCTTGGAAGCAAGCAGCTCGAGTCAAACAATGAAGTTCACCCGCAGTGGGCTAGCCCCCCCCCCCCCCGGTTGAGGTGCTTTTTTTTACTAGCCCCGGATTTTGACAAGCCCCGGCTCAGCACAAGGCCTCCCTCATATGGCTCTGAAGAGCTTGGCTGGGAACCCTTGCTTCGCTCTGTTGGGGGCAACAGTGGAATTTTTGTGCGAACCTAGTTGGACAGGTTGGGGGTGTTGGTTGGCCGCACGGACTAGGGCTGCCTATTGGCTTTCATTTGGTGGCAGTTCAGAGTTGAACTGGGCTGGTTGCGGGTGAGTGCTGAGCTTGCTGAGGTCTGAATGAGGGCGGGGCTTGGGTTTGTTTGGGGTTCATTTAGGCTTGGCAAAGGGCTGATATCCAGGATGGTGTTGGGAGGGTTCAAGGTTGACTTTGAGTCGGTTTGGGTTGGCTTGGAGCTGATTTGCGCGAGATGTGCGGCCCGTTGTTTGCAGTAGCTTTTGGGGGCTGTTTTAGGGCGTGGTTCAGTTTTGGGCTGGCTCCTAAAAATATATAAGTTTAATAGAATAATAGTTATCAAAATATCGTATCAATAGTTTAAACCTTTTTATTGGCCCGCCTTCTTGGACAAGGCCTTCTGCAAGGAGCTGCAGGCCTCCTGCTGATCCTGGCCTCAGCGTCCCTCGCCCTATTTGCCCAGCGACGCAGGGGAAAGGAAACCAGCTGCCCGATTTCAGGATCCCCCGCGAAAAGAGGAGAACTTCTCGTGGGTGAAACTCGGAAACGACCACTAAACACTAAAAGGCCAAACAGCTCAGGAACCGGATGGGCTGGGAGCCACCAAGAAAACAATGGTACACCACTGTTTGCTGGTATTTACAGGGCAATCATCCGAAACCGGGGTTTCTTGGGTGGTGCGAAATGGATTTCGTCCATCCACAGTAGGCAGGCAGCTAGCGCTGAGCAAAGAGAAAGATGCCATAACTATCCCGCGCCCAGCCAGGAAAAGCCCTGAGCATGCAGCGATCCCGACGCCTTCGTCGGAGCTTCAGCTTGGCCTCCCAGTTGGATGCGGGCAAGGAGCGCCACATTCCATTTGGGGGGTTTCTCAAAGTAGGGGACCTCTTGTGGGATGGCTTTGAAGGGCAAAGGAAGCCTGCCTGGAGGGGTCCCCCGTTTGGGTATGGGTCAACATGAAGCCAAAGTATAAACCGCAGGTTTTGGCCCATGTGTCCGGTAGGGCAGGCTACTCAGCCCGACCCACGGGCCATGGTCCAACTAAGGCACACAGCCCCGAGGGAAGGCACCCAGCCCCGTTCAAAGACTGGCGGGTCTTGGCACCATGGGTTTGGCACAGCTGCAATTGCTTGGTGCGTCTTCACCATGTCTCCATAGGGCGGTCCTTGTAGGTTGGAAATAGATGGGGGTCCCTGGTAGATGAGCAATAACCTTTTTCGACCGAAACAACCAAAAAGGTCACCTATGCATGTCTCTGAAATGCCGATGGGGTTGATCACAATTCCTGGCCCCCAAATCCCGAATGACCAAGGGTAACGCTTCCCATTGAGTGGTGCAAGGTGTGCCCATCGGCAATATGGGTGTGGGTCAAAATTAAACCACCAGGGGACCGCCTGTTTTCGTCATGTGTTCAATTTACCCAGGCTGTACCCCAGCTAACCTGTAACCTCACTCAAAGAGTACCTGACGCGCGGGGGTACCTGACGCGCGGAGGCTGGAGGCGGGGGGGGAGGGGTGAGGCGGTTAGTTAGTTAGTTAGTTAGTTAGTTAGTTAGTTAGATACTTAGTTACTTAGTTAGTTAGTTAGTTAAGTTAGTTCGTCACGTGCAGGAATCGAGTTTCGCGGTACCTGAGGCGCGGAAATGGTACCTGACGCGCGGCAGGAGGGAGGTACCTAACGCGCAGGATCGCGACGCGCGGGATCGTCGCGCAAAGGCTGGAGAGGAGAGGGGGGTTGGTTAATGAGTTAGTTAGCTAGCTAGCTAGCTAGTTAGTTAGCTAATTCATGAGTTAGCTGGATAGCTAATTCGAAAGTTCCGAAGGTCGTGAGTTAGAGTTAGTACCTAACCTGTAACCTCAAAGAGTACCTGACGCGCGGGGGTACCTGACGCGCAAAGGCTAGAGGCGGAGGGGGGGGGGGGGGGAAGGCGGGCTAGTTAGTTAGTTAGTTAGTTAGTTAGTTAGTTAGATAGTTAGTTCGTTAGCTAGCTAGCTAGCTAGTTAGTTAGTTAGTTAAATAGTTAGTTAGTTAGTTAGTTATTTAGTTATTTAGTTAGTTAGTTATTTGATGAGTTAGTGACGTAGTTGTTCCTTACTTGGTTGGTTAGTTGCCGCACGGGCTGGGGAAAAGTACGTCACGTGCGGGATCGAGTTTCGCGGTACCTAACGCGCGGAAAGGGGGCACCTGACGCAGGGGAGGAGGGAGGTACCTAACGCGCGGGATCTCGAGAGCAGGTGCCTGACGCGTGGGATCGCTGCGGATTTGACGCGCAAAGGCTGCAAAAAAGAGTTGGTGGTTAGTTAATGAGTGAGTTAGTGAGTTAGCTAGCTAGCTAGCTAGATAGCTAATTAATGATCGAGTTAGTTTTTTACCTGACGCTCGGGGCTACCTGACGCGCGGAGGCTAGAGGTGGGGGGGGGGGGAGGCGGCTAGTTAGTTAGTTAGTTAGTTAGTTAGTTAGTTAGTTAGTTAGTTAGTTAGTTAGTTAGTTAGTTAGTTAGTTAGTTAAATGGGGGGATGGTACCTGACGCGCGGGGTTGGGTTAGGCCGCAGGCGCGGCTGGGGGAAAAAACAGGGAGGTTTAGTCGCCGCGCGGGCTGCCGGGACAGCTCTCATGTGCGGGATCTGGTTAGGCGGTACCTGACGCGCGGAGCATCTTTTAGTTAATTAGTGCGTCAGCGAGTTAATTAGTTAGGTAGCTAAGTAGTCATTCTTACTCTGCCGCAGGAAGTGAGGGGGGAAGTGCCTGATGCGTGGGATCGGGAAGGCGTATGTAGTTCGCTAGTTTGTGAGGCAGTCAGTTTGTTGGATAGTCCACCTGTCGCGCGGGGCTACTTGACGCGCGGAGGCTGAGAAAGTCGGGAAGTTTAGTTGCCGCACGGGCTCATGCGCGGGATCGGTCTAGGCACTACCTGAAGTTCGGGAACGTCAGGCGCAGCATCGAGCGCGGGGTTGGAAAGTGCTTGGCGGAGTACTTGACGGGCGGGATCGGGTGAGGCGGCGCCTGACGCGCGAAAGTGCGGAGGTGGCGGGGTAGTTAGTTAGTTAGCTAATTAGTTGGTTAGTTGGTTGGTTAGTTAGTCAGTTACTTAGTAAGTTAGTTAGTTAGTTAGTTAGTCAGTTCGTCAGGTGGTTAGGTGGTCAGTTAGTTAACTAACTCTGCTTAGTTTGCCAGTTAGCTAGTTTGTCAACTAGATAGATAGTTAGTCAGATAGTCAGTCAGACGCACGGAGAAAGGGGACAAGGGGGGTACCCAAAGCGCGGAAGCGGGGATAGTGAGCTGACGCGCGGATCGGGATGAGGGGGCCCGGGATAGCAGCGACACGCAGAACTTGACCTGGGTGCGCAGCTGACGCGCGGATCGCAAGAAAGGGGGGATAGTCGCGCGGATCGGGACAGGAGGGTCTCACACACAAAAGAAGGCCTGACGCCTGACAAGGGAGAGAACCTGACGTGACTGTGTGCGGAAAGGCTGACGCGGATCGAGATGGAAGCATATTAGCTGACGCGCGACTTGGATGACGTGCAGAAGGGTAGAGCTGACGCACGGATCGGTAGGGAGTCCTGACGCGCGAGAAGGTGGGATGGTAGCTGCTGACGCGTGGAGCGGGGCAAGGGCGGATGGTAGCTGACGCGCGGATCGGGTCAGGGGGTACCTGACGCGGGGCAGGGCGAACAGTAGCTGAGGACGCGCGCAAGGGCTGTGACGTGCGAAGAAGGTTTGACGCGCGAGAAAGGGGCAGAGGGGTACCTGACGCGCGGAAGCGGGGATAGTATGGCTGACGCGCGGATCGGGATGCAAGGGATGGCGGGAGGGGAAAAGTAGCTGACGCTCGGATCGGAAAAAGGATTGTATAGCTGACGCGCAGATCGGGCTAAAGGGCCCCTCACGCGCGGAAAGGGGGGGGCAGTAGCTGACGCGCGGATCGGGATAGGGTCTCACACACGTAAGCGGGAAAGCAGCTGACACTAGATGCTGACGCACCAGGGTCCCTGTCTCGGGAACGGGGATAGCTGACGCGCGGATCGGGGTACCTGACGCGCGGAAGGGGGGAGAGTAGCTGACGCGTGGCTCGGGTCAGGGGGTACCTGACGCGCGGCAGGGCAAATAGAAGCTAACGCCGCTGAAGGGCTGACGCGCGGATCGGGTGACACGCGGCAGGGCGAATAGCAGCTAACGACGAGGGCTGACGAAGGTGGGAGGGATAGTAGCTGACGCGCGGATCGGGGCACCTGACGCGCGGAAGGGGGGGATAGTAGCTGCACGGAGAGGGCGAATAGCAGCTGACGCCGCGCGGACGGGCTGACGGGCGGATTGGGATTAGGGGGTACCTGACGCTCACGCTCCCTGACGCGCGGAAGGGAGGATAGTAGCTCACGGGGATGGTAGTAGCTGACGCGCGGATGGGGATGGGGGGTACCTGACGCGCTTAAGAGGGGATAGTAGATCGTGTCAGGCGGTACCTGACACGCGGCAAGGCGAATAGAAGCTGACGACGTGCGGAAGGGCTGACGAAGGTGGGATAGTAGCTGACGCACGGATCGGCACCTGACACGCGGAAGGGGGGAGAGTAGCTGACGCGCGGATCGGGAATCGGGAGTGGGGGGTGCCACGCTCACGCTAGGGCGCACCTGACGCGCGGATACCTGATGCGCGGAAGAGAGGATAGTAGCTGACGCGCGGATGGGGTGGGGGTACCTGACGCGCGGAAAGGGTATAGTAGCTGACGCGCGGATGAGGATGGGGGTTACCTGATGCGCGGAAGGAAAATAGTAGCTGACGCGCGGATGGGAGTAGGGGGGGAACTGACTCGCGGAAGAGGGGAGGTCAGGGGGTACCTGACGCGCGGCAGGGCGAATAGCAGCTGCGGAAGGGCTGACGCGCGGACCGGGAGTGGGGGGCGCCTGACGCATACCTGACGCGCGGAAGGGAGGATCGTAGCTGACGCGCGGATGGGGATGGGGGGTACCTGACGCGCAGAAGGGGGATAGTAGCTGACGCGCGGATGGGGATGGGGGGTACCTGACGCGCAGAAGGGGGATAGTAGCTGACGCGCGGATGGGGATGGGGGGTACCTGACGCGCGGAAGGAAAATAGTAGCTGACGCGCGGGCTGGGGTACCTAATGAATTTACCAGGGTCCCATTGCGGGTACCCATTTTTGACCCGCAGCCATATGTTTGAATCTCCGCTAAACCTTTGCTGCAGCGAGAACCCGCCTGCTCAATCAGCGTCGATGCGACACCGGACTGCTTCGCCTGGCATCTTTCGACGGCTCGAGGGCTCGAAGACTCGAAGACCGGAGCGCAACATCTCTCCGGCCCGGGACCAAAGATGCAATACTGAGTACACTCCAGGCCCACTTCAGGGCTTCAGGGCCACACCTCGGGGCTGGCCAGAGGGCCAAGACCCATCCCAACGAAATACACCAAGGAACCAACACCCAGAACTGACACCAAAGCCCAACATTGTGCGGTATTGCGTTACAAACAGCAGCAACACCTACTGGATGCCTCCCAGCGGCAACCTCACCCAGCTTTTGGTTCAGCTCCTTCGGAGTAGAACCCAAGCAATGCTCAGCTCAGCTCATTGAGGCCAAATGCTTTTTGAAATCGCCTACCCTCGGCCCCTGCGGAATGCCCCCTGAACAGCCACCCTGCCAATCGGCCAGCTCCAAGACTCCAAGATCAGTCAGTGTAGTTCAGTTAGCATCACGAGTGTACGCGCGCAGCCTCTGATGAATCATTCAGCATTTTGACGGTTCACAACTTGATCTTCGGGCAGAGTTATGAGGATCAAAGCAGCATCGCGATCGCGATCGCGCGGGCAGCCCCAGAATGACCAGAGGTCGATTGAATCAGCATCATAAGTGCAGCAAAGAGCATCCTGACGATTTGTTAGCAGCATCGTCCCGATTCAGACAGCAGCATGATGATCCAAACAGCCGCACCACGTGATGGTAGGTAGCACCAAGAGGACACACAAATGTGCACAATGCGGGCAGCGCATGATGACTCAGGTACGATGGCCGTGCAATGACCACGCGAAAGAGCAAGCCACCAACACGCCAAACAGCAGCCCATGCCAGCCGAATCAGCCATAAGCATCTGAGTGGCCACCCCAAAAAGCTCAAACTGCTGTCCCGGCCACGCCACCCGAACCAGCACGCCCCCAGCACATTGTGCCGCAAACCAAAAAAAACATGGACCAACACCTTCGCAAAAACATCACACACAGGCTACCGCGGCGCTGCACCCCACATCAGCACCTAGTGCGCAATATCAGGAACCCCATTCCTCTGGCTCTTTTCTGGATTTTTTCTATTCAATACCCCATAACAGTTAGCGGGCATGTAAAGGATGCTTGTAGATCGGTACCTTCTCCAGGAGCACGTGGTTGAGAACTTGGAATCCCCGAGCTGTCCATCTCATGATCCCACGCATCCAGAAATCCCTTACTTATTCAAGTACATATGGGTGTGGCTCAAATTTAAACAGCTAGACTTACGCAGGTTTTAGTGTTTGGTCCAATTTACCAAGGTGCCATTCTGGTACATCTTTTGAGCCACAGCCATATTCATGGCCCTGAATCATTCGACCCTTAAAAACAGTTGCTCCTTTTCCAAACCATTCCACATGGCTTGAAGACAGGTGACGTGCCTCCTGGATGGCAGACCGCGCACCCCGCAGGCTCTTGCAGCCCTGCGCCGAGCGCTCTCCAACAGCCAAGCGCGGCCAACAGCAAAGGACGCGAGGTTGAAATGGAACCCGCTTCTGTGATACAAAAAGGGCCTCCCGAAGACTAACCACCAAAGAGGGGAGTCCCCTGTATTTTCAGAAGTGGGGATAAACCCCTTGATTGTCTTAATCCCACAAAACCAATGGCTGGCAGAGTCAGACATGTTGAAAGAACGGCGAGACAGAGAAACAGACAGAGAAAGAGAGAGAGAGAGAGAGAGAGAGAGAGAGAGAGAGAAGAGAGAGAGAAGAGAGAGAGAGAGACAGAAAAGAAAGAGAGAGACATAGAAGAGAGACAGTAAGAGAGGGAGAGAAGAAAGAATAAAAAGAGAGAGGGAGAGAGACAGAAAGACACACAGAAGAGAGAGAGAGAGAGAGAATGAGAGAGAGAGAGAGAATGAGAGAGAGAGAGAGAAAGAGAGAGCGAGAGACAGACAGAGACAGAGACAGAGAGACAGAGAGACAGAGAGACAGAGAGACAGAGAGACAGAGAGACAGAGAGACAGAGAGACAGAGAAGAAAGAGAAGAAAGAGAAGCAAGAGAAGCAAGAGAAGCAAGAGAAGCCAGAGAAGAACAAGAGAGACAGAAAGGAAAGAGAGAGAGACAGAAAGGAACGAGAGAGACGGATAAGAAAGAGAGAGAGAGAGAGAGACGGAGAAGAAAGAGAGAGAGAGAGGTGGAGAGAGACAGAGAAGAAAGAGAGAGACCTTGTTTGCTTGTTTTTTGTTCGTTTGCCCTCTTTGCTTGCGAGACAAAGGGCAACCGAACAACAGAACAAAACCCACTCCAGGGCTCCAAAACCAACAAACAAGCAAGCAAGACAAGAAGTAAAAAAACACATCAGGAAAGAATGGGGAATAATAATAATAATTGTTATTTGTTTAATAATAATATTATTATTTAGTGTTTACTATTATTTGTGTTTATTAAAAAAAAAAAAAAAAAAAAAAAAAACGAGAAGACTCAGGCCGCGATCCCTCTCGCCTCCTCCTCCGCCTCCTTGGGCACGATCCCTGTGAGCCCCTTCGACCTGCCGGTGTCAAAACACAACCCGGGACATGAAGCGCCACGAGAGTGCATACCTTCCATTTGGTTAAGACCCCTGGAAAGAAAAAACATAATTTCCAGTAGTGATAAAGTCCTTCTGCAACCAACAAGGTTTAAGAAAACAAATGGAAGATACCCAAAACAGCTTCAACCGTTACGAGGAAGTTCTGCCATTTGGAGGAAACCAGGAAACCAACCCTCTTAACATTGCCCACTCGAACCGCGTGGCAACCACCCCCCTGAACACAGCCCACTCGGACCGCGTGAAGCTACAAGGCCAAACTGGTCATCTTCCCACCAGAGTGCTCATGGGTTTTTCGACCGGGTCATCAAGGTGATTTGCAAAGGTGCCCCGCTCTTCTGATGGTTGCCCTCATTCTTACTTTCCATCCGTGTGTCTCAAAATGGCGGACCCCCTTTTGGTCTTTTGGTTGGTATTTGAAGGGAAACCAAACGAAACCCAACCGCCTGGATGGGGGTCAGGAAGCCAGGACAAACTCAGCCCCAGGCGTGTTCAGAGCCTCCAATGCTGCGGCTGCCGCCTGCATTCCAAACGCCGACGAGAAAGTGGATTGGCGTTGATATGACTCTTGATGGAGAAAGTGGGTTTGTAGTACCCTCCCACCAGCTAACATGGAAGTGCACAAACCCCTGTAGAAAGACTAATTTCCTCTTGGAAAGGGTCTTTTTGCACTTCAATGAAAGTTGGTGGGAGGTTACTTGAGCTCTATGGAATCGCCAAAGAGTGCCAACCGCGGGCACCGAAACCAATCAGTTGAAGTGCCCTGGAGCGGATGAACGGTCCCCACAACCCCACTCAGTCACTCCCTCCCTCCCTCCCTCCCTCCCTCCCTCCCTCACTCACTCACTCACTCACTCACTCACTCACTCACTCCCTCCCTCCCTCACTCACTCACTCACTCCCTCCCTCCCTCCATCACTCACTCACTCACTCACTCACTCACTCACTCACTCACTCACTCCCTCCCTCCCTCCCTCCATCACCCACCACCACCACCACCACCACCACCACCACCACCACCACCACCACCACCACCACCACCACCACCACCACCACCACCACCACCACCACCACCACCACCACCACCACCACCACCACCACCACCACCACCACCACCACCACCACCACCACCACCACCACTCACCACCACCACCACCACCACCACCACCACCACCACCACCACCACCACCACCACCACCACCACCACCACCACCACCACCACCACCACCACCACCACCACCACCACCACCAATTACCTCACCACCACCACCACCACCACCACCACCACTCACCACCACCACCACCACCACCACCACCACCACCACCACCACCACTCACCACCACCACCACTCCCACCACCACCACCACCACCACCACCACCACCACCACCACCACCACCACCACCACCACCACCACCACCACCACCACCACCACCACCACCACCACCACCACCACCACCACCACCACCACCACCACCACCACCACCACCACCACCACCACCACCACCACCACCACCACTCACCACCACCACCACCACCACCACCACCACCACCACCACCACCACCACCACCACCACCACCACCACCACCACACCACCACCACCACCACCACCACCACCACCACCACCACCACCACCACCACCACCACCACCACCACCACCACCACCACCACCACCTCGCCACCACCACCACCACCACCACCACCACCACCACCACCACCACCACCACCACCACCTCACCACCTCACTCACCTCACCACCTCACTCACCTCACTCACTCACTCACTCACCCACGCACCAAGCTCCGCTGCGCTGCTGCCTTCCTCTCCTCCTCCCTCCTCACCTACCACTACTCACCACCACCACCCACCCACCTACCCACCCACCCACCCACCCACCCACCCACCCACCCACCCACCCACCCACCCACCCACCTACCCACCCACCCACCTACCTACCCACCCACCCACCTACCTACCCACCCACCTACCTACCTACCCACCCACCCACCCACCCACCCACCCACCCACCCACCCACCTACCTACCCACCCACCCACCTACCCACCCACCCACCTACCCACCCACCCACCTACCCACCACCCACCTACCCACCCACCCTACCCACCTACCCACCTACCCACCTACCCACCCACCCACCCACTCCACCTACCTACCCACCCACCCACCCACCACCACCACCACCACCACCACCACCACCACCACCACCACCACTCACCACCACCACCACCACCACCACCACCACCACCCGCGGAGCGGCAACTCACCTCACCACCACCACTACCACCACCACCACCACCACCACCACCACCACCACCACCACCACCACCACCACCACCACCACCACCATCGCCTCACTCACCACCATACTCACCACCCACCCACCCGCTCCCTCCCTCACTCCCTCCCTCCCTCCTCCTCCCTCCCTCCCTCCCTCCCTCACTCACTCACTCACTCACCCACCCACCCACCCACCCACCCCTCCCACCCTCCCTCCCGCCCTCCCTCCCTCCCTCCCTCCTCCCTCCCTCCTCACTTCACTCACTCACCACTCCACCCACCCGCTCCTCCTTCACCTTCCTTCTCCCTCCCTCCTCTCACTCACTCACTACCCACCCACCCACCCACCCACCCCACCCTCCCACCTCCCTCTCCCCTCTCACTCGCTCACCACTCACCACCACCACCACCAGCCTTCGCCGTCGTCGTCGTCACTCACCACTCACTCACTACTCATTCACCACTTCACTCACCACCACCACTCACCACCACCACTTCACCACCACCCACCCACCTCGCTCCTCCTCACTCCCTCCTCCTCACTACCACTTCGCCGCTGCGCTCGCTGCGTCGCTTCGCGTCGCCGTTTCGTTATTTATTTATTTTCCTTCCTTCTCTCTTCCTTTCCTCACTCACCACCACCACCACCACCACCACCACCACCACCACCACCACCACCACCACCACCACTCACTCATCACCACCACTATCACCACTTTCACCACTTCTACTCTACCACCACCTACCACCACCACCACCCCACTCCCTCCCTCCCTCCCTCCTCCTCACTCAGGCCTTTTTCCACTACCTACCACCCACCCCCCCCTCCCCACCCTCCCACCCTCCCTCCTCCTCCCCCCCTCACCACTACCACCCACTACCACCTGACTCACCCACCCACCCACTCTCCCTCACTCCCTCCCTCCCTCCCTCCCTCCTCACTCACTCCACCCACCCAACCCTCACCACTCACCACTCACCCACCCACCCACCCACCACTCTCACCCTCCCTCCCTCCCCTCCCTCCTCACTCACTCACACCACTCACCACCACCACTCACCCACCCACCTCCCACCCACCCACCCTCCCTCCCCACCACCACCACTACCCACCCACCCACCCACCCACTCCCTCCCTCCCTCCCTCCCTCCCTCCCTCCCTCCCTCCCTCCCTCCT